TTACACTATTTGCAATATACTATTCATTTTTTGATACTCCAATAGATAGTGTAAACAAAAGGTTAAAAAACACTATAGTGGAAAAAACAATTCCCAACTTGTATATATACAAGATGGTGCAAACTAAATGCTAAAATAATTATTTCAATATTTAATTTTAAATGAGACTACAAATATTATTAATAGATTGGTTACATTATGCACATCATAAATGTGATTATAATTAAACCAAAAATTAAACATATAAATACCTTAAAATAATAAAATATTATAAAAATGTATTATATAGAAGATATGGTTGGAATGAGTATAAAAAAATGAATGTGTAAAACACTGTTGATAGTGTAAACTAAATTTTACAATATCATTTTTTCTACTATGGGTTGGAGATGCTCTTAGTGAATAAAAACTGGGAAAGTGTAATTTAGGGTAAACTTTTTGTGGCTGCTATAAATTTACCACATACGGCCAGTACTTCCCCACAGTAAAAAATGGCAACAATTAAACTATTGCCTTATTTTTATCTTGTCATCTTCTTCTTCCTCCTCCATTCATTCATGTCCCTTGCGGTAAATTCTGTTAGTGCAACGATTTCAAATTCACAATCTCCGGCGACGGAGCGTGAAGTCTTACTGCAAGTGAAATCGCACTTTGGAAACCCGCCGTCACTTGGAGGGTGGAGCGATAATACCTCTTCCGCCTCTTCACCGTGCAGCTGGCCGGAGATAACCTGCTCCGGCGGCGGATCGGTCACCGGAATATCTCTCTACAACTACAACATCACCTCCGAAATTCCGAGTGAGATCTGCAATCTTAGGAACCTCACCACGCTCGATCTTTCCGACAATTACATTCCCGGCGAATTCCCGACGTTCCTGTTCAATTGCTCGAAGCTACAGTACCTGGACCTCTCTTCCAACTACTTCGTGGGCCCCATTCCTACCGACATCGACCGGCTCCGGCGGCTCCGGTACCTGAACCTCGGCGCAAACAATTTCACCGGCGACATCCCGCGCGCAGTCGGGAACTTGTCGGAGCTCCGGGATCTGAAGCTGTCTGCCAATCTGTTCAACGGCACCTTCCCGATCGAAATCGGGAATCTGTCAAATCTCGAAACCCTAGAAATGGCGTACAACGACTTCTCCCCGTCCCGGATCCCGGAGGAGTTCGGGAACCTGAAGAAGCTCAATTTCAGCTGGTGGGCGTCGACGAATTTGATCGGAGAAATTCCCAAAAGCTTCGAGAATTTGTCGAACATGGAGCAATTGGATTTGGCCATGAACCATTTAGAAGGTGAAATCCCACGAGGATTGTTTCTGCTCCCAAAACTCAAGAACCTATATTTGTATAATAACGAGCTTTCCGGTTCAATTCCATCCGATTTCGCCGAGAATTCTACACTGGTCGAGGTGGATTTTTCCGGCAACAAGTTGACCGGCGAGATCCCGGGCGGGTTCGGAGAGTTGCAGAGACTGGAGGTTTTAGCCCTCTTTTGGAACCGGTTATCCGGTGAAATTCCACCCGGAATAGGCCGAATCCCATCTCTGAAACAATTCAAAGTTTTCACGAATAATCTGAGTGGGATTTTGCCACCTGAGATGGGGCTTCATTCCAAACTGGAAGGAATGGAAGCCAGTGATAATAGACTCGCCGGAACATTGCCGGAAAATTTATGCGCCGGCAATGCCCTGCGCGGCTTAGTAGTGTTCAATAACAACCTAACCGGAGAAATCCCACTATCGCTTGAGAACTGTGACACCCTGGAAACCATTCAGCTTTATAATAACCATATGACAGGGAAGGTTCAGCCATGGCTATGGACACTGAAGAGCATGGCGAGGGTGTTGATCAGCAACAACTCATTCTCCGGCGAGTTTCCCGGCAAGGTGGCCGGGAATCTGACCCGGTTAGAGATCGACAACAACCGGTTTTCGGGCGAAATCCCGACCCGCAGAGTTTCATCATCACTGGGCAGCATTGTCGTGCTCCACGCCAGTAACAATCTGATCTCCGGTCGGATCCCGGAAGAGTTCACTGCCCTCTCCAAGCTCACAGACCTGAAGCTCGACGGAAACTCGCTTTCCGGCGAACTCCCAGACAAGATCCTGTCCTGGAAACGGCTGACCACCTTAAACATTGCAAGAAACAATGTATCTGGGGAAATCCCAAAAGCCCTTTCATCACTGTCCAACCTTCTTGTTCTTGACATGTCACAGAACCAACTCTCTGGTTCAATCCCACTTGAGTTAGGACACCTGAGGTTCACTGACCTTAACCTCTCCTCCAACAGCCTCTCTGGGGAAATCCCACCTCAGTTTGACAATGTGGCATTCAAAAACAGTTTCTTGAACAATCCCGACCTCTGCGGCGACACCTTGAAGTTCCTCCAATGTCGTGTCCCGAAACGCCACCGCGTTCCGCGGTGGATTGTTGTGGTGGTTCCGGTCGCCTCTTTCGTTGTTTTCTCCATTGTTGTTGCACTGGTCATGGTTAAGGTTAGAGGGTGCAAGGGGAGGGAGAAGAACAATAGTGATGTCATGGAAGTGAAGCTCTTTGCATGAGTTATTCAATAATAACCCTCCACTAAATTACCCCGGAGTACTACATATGACACACTTCCCCAAACTTTTAGGGCATTAATTTTTAAACTATTATTACTATTATTACTACTATTATCATTATTGTCATTATTATTATTATTATTATTATCATTATTATACATTATTATCTTTCTATCTTTGGATTTTTCGTGAACGGATGTGAGTATAAAAATTACTCCGTAAAAGACAGTAAAAAAAGTGTTTTAAATAAAAATTAAGTCAAATATCTTATCTTTTTTTAATCAACACGGTATGCTTTAACTTGTGTTAATTAAATAATGAATTTTATTTCAACAAAAGCAAAACAACATCCTTATTCCCTGGAGACCGCTCTCATTTCTGGTTTCAAAGTCAAGCTTTAGCCACAATTTCACGGATTTAATTGAATTTAGAGATTAATTAATTTGTATCATCATTACATAAGGGGTGCCAAAATTCTCTATTTTCAAAAGTTATTTGTAAAACCTCTATGTTTTTTAAATTGTGTAGAGACGTCCCTTCTTGCCTATTTTTAGATATAAAATGATATTTATGCCCTTTGTTTTTCTCTATCTTCAAATTTCACTCTTTTATTTGCACTTAATTATTATGCAAATAAATATAATAAAATATACGCCCTCTTCCTCAAATTAAAACTTTTCATTTATTTAATTTTCAAAATTTTATTTTTAGAGAATGTTATAAAAGAAAATGAAAAATTAAAAAATTAAATAAAATACACTTTTTCATTATAAGTAAGAGTAAAATAAATAAAATAAAAAATTAAATAACATATACTCACTCAAACTCTAATTAAAAATTCTAACTTATTTGTTTTTTCAAAAGTAAAATAATTTTTTAAGGACTTTAAAAAATAAAGAACAGAAAGATGAAATAAAATACAAAGTTAAAGAAAAAGACTGTTTTTATATTTTTATTTCTTTTCATTACCTTTTTTCAAATATTATTTTTACTTTGTATATAATATTTTATTTTTCATTTTCTTTTGTAACATTCTCCAAAAAAATATTTTGTTTCAAAAATACATTATGAAAATGTTTGATTTGAGATAGGAATCGTATATTTTATTTTACATATTTGTATAATAAAGAAAAATAACATTGGGGAAATTCAAGATCGAGAAAAAGAAAGGGCATAAATGTCATTTTTGCTTTATAAATGGGTAAGGGACATGTGTGCTCTATTTAGAAACCATAAAAACTTTACAAATAATTTTTGAAAATAGAGAGAGCTTTGATGCCCTTTTTGTAAACGACAGGAGACACTCATACTATTAGGCATTTATTTAAACAAAAGTAAGGGGCTGTTTGTTTCAGCCTCTTAATGGTTCAGCTGTCTGTATGGTTCAACACTTAATGGTTCAGACTGTTTGTTTCAGCCTCTTAATGGTTCAGATATCTGAATGGTTCAAACATTTGCCTCTGAATGGTTAAGTATTATACAGAGTCTGAATGGTTAAGACCTCTTATCCGAATTGATCAGACATTTGCCTCTGAATAGTTAAGCAATATACTAGCTCTTAATGGTTCAGACCTCTTACTGGTTCAGTACTTAATGGTTCAGACCTCTTACTGGTTCAGCACTTAACTATTCAGAAGTTGCCAAACAGCCCCTAAAACACCATCTTTATTCCTTGCAGACCGCTATCATTTCTGGTTTCAAAGTCAAGCTTTAGCCACAACTTCACGCATTTAATTGAATCTAGAGATTAATTAATTTGTATCATCATTACATATATAATACTCCCTCCGTCTCAGTATTTTTTTCCAGTTTGACTTTTTTGAGTCAAACTGGACAAATTTTGAGTTTCAATTAAATAAAAGGGAGAAAGATCAAAGTAGGACCAAAACATTGAAAATATACCAAAATAGGATTTTCATGTTTTTATTCCCGAAATAGGACTACATTACCAAACATGGTCATATACATTACCAAAAGGTATAGTAATTTGCACATGTACACTGCCACATTACCACAATGCAAAGCCACATTACCACAGTGCAAAGTCCTATTCCGGAAAAAAAAACATGAAAGTCCTATTTTGGTATTTTTCTCTATGTTTTAGTCCTATTTAAGATGATTTCTATAAATAAAAATCGTAATCTATTTTAACATAAAATGACTTTAATAGATTTATCGTATTGCGAACTTTCAAAATTGTATTTTATTATGCCCCTTGGACCCTGCAGGGGTTGCCACCTCTTGAACCCCGATAAAGCAAGATTTTTATCGTAACAAACTCAATGAAGCGTGCACTTCGCACCACCAAACTTCTTTGATGATTATTAGGATACCATTGGTCATAGTTTTTCTAATTACACTACTCCAAAAATAAGTCACTCTTCCCCATCTTATCTTCTCGTTAATCGTCACCCCTTCTAAAAAGTAATGACAATTTCAAAAAATTAACTCTATTTTTTCTCTACCTTAAATATGCCAAAAGTCAAAACAGGCGATTTAAAACGGGACGGAGGGAGTAACATATTATCATCACTTTCATCATCATTCACCTTCCTCATGCATGTTTATTCTTGTAGCTGACAAGTTGTCATTGGCAAGTAGAGGTTTCACATCGTGGTTTTTCCCGGACACCGTGCCCTCTAAGACGTGACAACGAGGTTGGCAACGCCGGAGAATTTGGACGACTTCTTTCATGGAAGGCCTGTTTGAAGGGTTCCTGCTCGTACAGGCAAGCCCGAGCATGAAAACCGTCTTTAAATCCTCCTGGAATATTTCCAGTTCCTGGATTTCTGCATCCAAGAGCTCATCAATGGCTGTTTTTTCTGAATGGTGGTGATATGCCCATTCCACAATGCTTGCGTGCTCTCCACCGCGCGCAAACATGGGTTCTTTCCCTGTCACGAGCTCTAATAACACCACCCCGAAGCTATAAATGTCGATTTTCTCGTTCACTCTTGGCGTATATGCATACTCTGCATGATTGAAAGAGATATATTATTTTCTTTGTTAGCTAGGGTGTAAAACCTTTTTGATTTGGTTGAGTTGGTTCATTCATATGCTTAGCATTGTATTTAATCAACAAGGCAAATAGAATGATAATTGTTTTCATAATAACATAGAAAACAAAAGAAATGTGTTGTTGATATTAATAGGGAAAAAATCGAATACCTGGTGCAATATAACCAAAGGATCCAGCAACGACAGACATGGTGTTAGCATCACCTTTCTTGGCCAATATTTTTGCTAAACCAAAATCGGCAATCTTAGAGTTGAACTCACAATCCAACAAGATGTTGCTCGATTTCACGTCGCGATGGACTATGGGAGGAACGCAGTCATGGTGCATGTAAGAGAGGCCCTGAGCGGCACCAATGGCTATTTGCAGTCGTTTAGGCCAATCCAATCCCACATTCTGAAGAACGCCTTTCTTTCTTTCATGTAACCATCTATCAAGACTCTCATTTTCCAAATATTCATAGACCAACAATTTTGAGCCCTCATTGCTCGAAATACAACACATCAGCTTCACGATATTTGAGTGTCTGATTGAACCTAGTATCTCAACCTCCGCAAGAAACTGCTGCTCAAGGTCATGATCTAACTCTGCTTCGCCAGTCTGTATTCTCTTCACAGCAACATACTCACCCAATATCCTGGCGCAAATTTTGTACACTTTTCCTGCACCGCCACTCCCAATCATGTTGTCTTCTGTTAAATTTGATAGAATGTTTTCTTCGGTGAAATCTAACTTTTGGAATGTAGTCATCTTCCATGTTGGGACATCAGGACTTTGGTTCTTATTCTTGTGCCATCTGATAATGAACAAAGCCAGTCCTATTACAATTGCAAGGAAAATAGAGGACGCCAAGACAATGATAAGAACAATAATCCTTTGTGACAAGTGGTTAGAGGCTCGTGTTTCCTCATTACAACGTGGAAGTCTCAGGCTGTTAGCACACAAACTTGGATTGTTCAAGAAACTGTTTTCAAAGGCGAGGCGATCAAATTCTTCGGGGATTTTCCCAAAGAGGTTATTTGATGACAAGTTAAGTTCATTGAGCCTCAAATGGCCTAGCTCTGGTGGGATTGGACCGGAGAACTGGTTATGTGATAAGTCTAGATCAAGAAGATTGTGCAAAGAACCAATCGCCATTGGAATACTGCCAGAAAGCTTATTTCTAGCAAGACACAACGTAGACAGCGACATCCAAGATAAAAACTTCCGTGGAAGTTCACCCGAAAGTGAATTCCCATCCAACCTAAGCTCAACCAGTTCAGAAAGGCCAGTGAATTCCACTGGAATCTGACCAGAGAGTAAATTGTTCCTAGCCTGAAACACACGAATACCTTTCAACAATGATATATTAGCTGGGATTTCTCCTTGAAATCGGTTGTCGTTGACCTCTAACCTTGTTAAATTCTTAGCGAAATTGTTCGGGAGCTCACCTGAGAATGAGTTATTGCTAATCATCACCCTGCTCAAGCTCTTTAGTGTCCAAAACCATGGTTGAATCTCCCCTCTCATCTGATTATTATGAAGCATAATCACTGACAAAGTGTCACAACTCTCAAGCGATCGTGGGATTCCTCCGATCAGATTGTTATCATGTGCTGCTAAACCAAGCAGGGCCTTGCCGGCGCATAAATTTTCAGGCAATTTTCCTGTGAGCATATTATCTTGAACTTCCAGGGTTTCCAGCTTAGAGTGAAGCCCCATCTCAGGGGGCAAAATCCCACTCAAATTGTTCCCAAAAACTTTGAAAACTTTCAGAGATGGGATTCGGGCGATTCCCGGTGGAATTTCACCGGAGAGTTGATTCCAGAAGAGATCTAAAACCTCGAGCCTCTGCAACTCTCCAAATCCGCCTGGAATTTCACCAGTCAAGTTGTTTGAAGGCAACTGCACGGTAACCAATTTTGAGTTCTTAGCGAAATCGGACGGAATTGTACCGGAGAGGATGGTGTTATACAGATATAAAGTGGTGAGGTTTGGGAGAAGAAACAATCCTCGTGGGATTTCACCTTCTAAACGATTCTCGGCCAAATCCAATTGCACCATGCTCGACAAATTATCGAAGCTTTTTGGTATTTTTCCCACCAAATTCGCCGACGTCCACCGTGTGACCTTGAGATTCTTCAAGTTACAGAACTCCTCCGGGATCCGTGACGGAGAGAAGTTGTTGAACGACATATCCAGGTTTTCGAGATGGGACAGATTTCCGATCTCGACAGGGAAGGTGCCGTTGAACTGACTGCAACATAGCTTCAGATCTCGGAGCTCCGACAAGTTCCCGACGGCTCGCGGGATGTCTCCGGTGAAATTGTTCGAGCCAAGGTTCAGGTGCCGGAGCTCCCGGAGACGGTCAATGTCGCGAGGAATGGGGCCGACGAAGTAGTTCTGAGAGAGGTCCAAGTACTCCAGCTTCGAACAGTTGTACAGGAACGCCGGGAATTCGCCTGGAAAATAATTGAAGGAAAGATCGAGCGTTGTGACGTTCTTAAGGTCGCAGATTTCACTCGGAATCTCAGAGGTGATGTTGTAGTTGCTGAGAAATATTCCGGCGACAGATCCGTCACCGGAGCAGCCTATCTCCGGCCAGCTACACGGGGATGGGGAGGTGGCGTTCCAGTGACGGAGAGGTGACGGATTACCCCACCGCCGTTTAAGTTCGAGCAAGACGTCACGGTCCGTCAATCGGGGGTGCGAGTTTACCAAAAGGGGCACAAATGTGAGGAGAAGATAAAAAGTGAATTTGAAATAGTGCAAGGGTAGATTTATCTTTTTACTGAGAGGAGAGATCCCATTTTCTGGCGGAGAATAAGAAGTGGAATTAGTCATTTGTTAATTACTACGTATCAAAGAGAGTTAAGATAAAATAGATTTCTATTAAAAGACATTTGTTAATTAGTACTCCGTAGTAGCCTGAGATTTCATATGCTCGGGCCGAAACAAAAAAAAAAGCTCTAGAAATATTATCCCTAATGATCTAACAAATTAACATATTTGTAGATGTTCATGCTCTTTCATCTCTTTTACTTCTACTTCTTCGTCTTCAGCAACAGGTTTCATAGCTCCGGCTTGAACTTTCTCATTTCTTCATCTCGTTCTATTTTTTCTTTTTTGATTACCGGATAATTGTTTAGGAGCCATAGTTATTCAATTATTTGTGAAATTAAATCCAAATTCATAAATTCTACTACTTAGTAAAATAAAGTATGAAAAACTAAAAAAGCAAGAAAATAAATAAATATATCATAAATTCATATCAATTCGTCAATTTTTTTAAATTATTTTTCAAATTTAAGTTTTAATTTTTTTATATGTTAGCGTATATTATGTATATATTATTTTATGTATATTATTTTGTAATATTATGGGCCTATCGTGTTGGGCTTGTAACTTGTATTTATATCCTTCGGTATCAATGAAACAAGCAAGTCATTCAGTTCACCAAATTCTACATGGTATCAGAGCAAACCTAGGATATCACGTAAAACCCTAGGTGGCCGCTGCAAATCTGGTCTTTCGTTCGCCGGTTGTCTGCGCCGGAGCATCGTCAGTCTCTTCCCGGTGAACTGTCCAAGTCTCTTCTCCTTTCACTGGGATCGTCCATCTCTGCCCCGGTTGGGAGTCTCCGTCCAAGTCGCTGGCCCAAGTCGGTCATCGTCGCCCGTTTCGAATCTGAACGCGCGTCTCCGTCCTTGTCGCCGGCGAATCCCTGTTCGCCCGCCCTTTTCCGTTTATCTGCAAAGAATCGCCGCCCATGTTCGCCCGTTGAAGTCGCCGCCGTCCATCCCTCTCTGTTCCGATCGAAGAGGTTTCCGTCCAATTGCGCAGTTTGGATTTACCACGCCGCCCAGATCTGCCTTGCTGTAGCAGCCTGTACAATACCGCAGCAGATTTCCTTCGTCCCATTGCGCAGCAGATTTTCTTTGTCCAGTAGTTTGGATTACTTTGGTTTGAAAACATAGCATAAAATTGACAAGATGACCACTACCTCGTGTGATTGGTTGATTGAGAGTGGTGCTTCTCATCATATGACGGGTACTCTGTCTCACATGTTCAATATTGCGGATGTTTTATCTCATCCTATTTGTCTTCCCGATGGCTCCCAGATTCAGGCTACTAAAAAGGGAAGTGTCTGTGTGACCTCTAGTCTGGTTCTCCATCATGTGTTTTACGT